AGCGCGCAGTCTTGGCACGTGTACATCTAAATTACTGTCCCGGCTGCAAAACTAATCCGATATAACGGTAACAATGTGAACGAACTCGTTCCTTTCCTTTAATTGTCACACTTCTAGGGCTTTACGGTTACCGGCTATAAGGTTTCACTCGTGCGGCCAGCGTAATATATTCTTATATTGCAAGTGAACTCATATTCCGTACCCCAGCACTTACCTAGCGCTACCCTAGCACCATTCCAGACTTTGTAATAAAAAATATCTAATATACTCCGTAATCCGTTACTAAATATTGTATCACTATGTTAATAATAATAATTTATACATATGACAGGGAATTTTTTTAATGAAAATATATCTAGTTTGTAGTTCAACAAGTAAAACGTATTTCTATTCTCTAGATACTCCTTATAATATATTGATAATATAAGAAGCTTTCGCCATTTTCCAAAAGTTTCAATTAGACGTGATATCTTTCTCGTATACACATACCTCTATCGCCAAAAGGCAACTCTGCTGCCTTTACTATCAGCTACATTTTCCAGAATTTACAGCCAACGCGACGCGAAACTTTTCAAGTGACAGCCAATACGTTTTTCACGACGCTCTTGCGAAACAGCCGCAAGTGCGTTGTACCAAATAACGGTTCTCTCCGTGATGTTCCCGCCTCTCCATCTCACGGGATTAACGAACGTGTTTTGATTCGGCACGTGCGGAAAAAGAGGGAAAGAACGAGTGGTGCAGTATGGGATACAGACGACGGCGCGCGCGAGCGACAAAAGTGAAGCGTTCGCCAAAGCGGAACACGCTCGCGAAACGAATCGGATCACCCCTATTCATCGGCGCAGCATTGACGAAAATCGAAACGGCCGCCCCTTTTAGAATTTTATATATATACCCCTGTGACGCGCGGCCGTGTGCGTGCGCGCGTATACCGACCTAATTTTTTTTTCGCGCGACGTCGGCAGACCCTTTATTTTTTTCGCAGCCACCGCCGCTTTATGAATAAAAAGCGTACTTTTGTCCATGAATACCTCTGTGTATTTCCTGCTGAAATATTTTTCAATCACGGGTGCAATTTTACGCATTCCCGTGACGCAGTTTATATAAATAGCAGTCTAATCGGCCCTGTTGTCACGCGTCGAAAATTAAAAAATCGCTGTGACTGAACTTCATCGGCGCCGCGCTGCATACCATGCATACCGATGGCGCGGCGACCAAAGTAAATCCGATGACAAAAGCGAAATTGCGATCGTAATTTGAGAATAAAAACGGTTCGTTAAGTTGATTCCGATAGAAATATGTAATCAAAGCTCGCGCGATGAAGCCAAAAATTTATTCATGGCGTATGCAAATTATTCATAAGGACCAAGGTATTACGCTATCATTTTCGATCGTATCATATTTTTTTTTATATTCACTTAATTACAATCAGAGAATCGAGTGATGATCGAGCGAAAGGTCGTAACACCGGTGTCTGAAATCTCTCTACGCATTTGCGGAATCTGCAAAAAAAAAACCTATTATGCCGCAGTTGCCGCGAATGTCCGCTTATGACGTGCGATTTCGATTTGAGCCCTTTACACCGCGCGGTCGCGGTATTTTATTTCACCGAAACACCGGTTTATCAGAGCGAAACTTCGCGCGCGACGGCAACGTAAAGTTCGAGACCGAAATCAAATCCCGCACGTTGTTATGGCGCGCTCGGTCGCCGTTAGCACACCGATATGGCTTCATTTGCGCGGCGGCGACGGCGGCGGCAGCAGCAGTAGCAGCAGCAGTAGCACGCGAACCGCAGTAAAATTTTTTTTATGGTCACGGCGGGAGCAAAAGGCGGAAGTAACTTTTTGGAGGCTCAAATTAACCAGCGTAACTGCGGGCACGACAATTACCACCCGATAGCTCGGCCGTCCGTTAATACCCCTTTCTTCCCCGCTCCGCCCACTTCCCCAGCGCTGCATTAATCACGAAAAACAGTTTCGGACTTCCCGGCCGCGCGCCAACGCGACGCCGCGCCGCGCTCTCGATGCTGATGATGCTCCCCGAAATCAAGTGAGCCTTTATAAACAATAAATCTGACCGGTACGCGCTGGTGGCGAAGCACCGCGAGCTCGTGAATGAATTGCGCGTGCTGATCATCACGCGTTGTATGCGCGAGCGAGCGCAATTGTCGGATGGAAATGTAAACTGAACTGTAAATTGCAAAAGGGCGATTCTGAATGCCTATAAAAAAAAATTGATAATGAAGAATAATAATAAAATTACCAATAAATTAAAAACGAATAACGTAATTTAAAATTTGAAAAAACTTTAATAACAACAAATTTGAAGAAAACAATTTATGCCTACTTAATTATCTCGCTCAATTATACGATTTAGTTAACGGTTATTTGCAAAGTAGAATTTTCTATAAAAAAAAACTGCGTGTGTCAGAGAACGGAAAAAGGTTATCTCGTGAAAAGTTAAATTTTAATATTGTATGAAAAGCCTTTATCATGCATCAAAGAACCAGAGTTTCCGTTCAAAACTCAAATCCAAAACCCTACTTGGTACATACACTTTGTTATAACAACTGCATCGTGTGTTGATACTTTACGGAAAATTTCTCGTATAATCGGCTCTGTGAGCTTTGCGTTAACTATATGCAACATAGTCGACCACAAAGTGTACGAGGCACGTTTCAAGCCTCAAATAAGTCGATCGACTTGAGAGACATGATGTATAGATGCAACGCGTATTTTGTGAAACAACTTCACTAAATATAGAATATCGTAAGGATACTGTATTTTATTACGAAAATGATAAAGCTTAATGCGAAATCAATTTCTTTTTGCGTGGCGTTTTCCCAGAGAGTTATATAGATGTTTCCTGGAGGGGGAGAGAAAGAGAGAGAGAGAGAGATCGCGCTGTATCGTCATAACCGTAAATATCTGGTGGCGTTCATAAGTCTAAGAAAGTTATGTCGCGCCTTAGTAATTGAAAAAGGGAGAGAGGGGAATATTAATGGCGCAACAGTGCGCGCGTTAATCGTTTCCGGGCCGCCGGGCTATGAATGCGAGATCTATTTTTACGTTAATCAACGATCGCTAACGAGAGGAACAAATTTAATCATCGTCAGTTCCCGGGTCGAAAAACGGGACTCGCTTTACTTACGGGAAGAAACATATTCCCCGCCGAGAGTAAAATGAGATGTATGAAAAATGATTGCGCCGCGGCGGAATGATCTCGAGCGGTGCGGCGCGGTGCGGCGCCGCTGAAACCGCGTTGCGCGTTGAGCTTTAGCTTTTAGCTAAACGCGGCGGATAATTAGAGGAAAGAAAGTGGCCGACGCGAAGTCGGACGTGAAAGCGCGCGCCCGGAGTCGGGGATAATAAATTGAGTTTTACCGGAGGGATCGGTTTCATTAAAGCACGATAATTCTCGTCAGTATAGAGCAGCCGCGCGGCAGTTTCCGCGGAAATAAATAACGGCAGTAGTGCAGGTGCGCCACTGTCAGCCCTGTCGCGGATTAATGGCGCGCCGCGCTATTGCGTCGCTAGACTACTGCATCGGGCGTCCTTACGGAGAGGGGCTGCGCCTTTAAAAAGAGGTCGCGGAAACCGGCATCGACGCGAGTACATCATGTTACCTTCTCCTTACGCCCGGCGGAGAGGCAATCGAGATACGTAACGTATTACACGGGCGGACTATGATACTGCAAATACTACAAAGGGCTAATACCGATAAATGATGCTTCCCCGCATACCATTTGTCAGGATTACGGAGATGTAGACCGAGGAGAGATGGGGGAAGGAGACGTCCTCGGGAAAGGAAGAGAGTGAGAAGGAGGAATAGGAGGGGGGGAGAAACGGGATTTAAAAATATTTTATTTTACGATTCTAAAAATACTTTTCATGTGAAAAATATTTTTCTGTGAAAATTTCGAATATATACTTGGTTTATTATTGTACGATTGAAAGGGATTGGTAACGAAGTTGACGGCGTGCACAAATTTGAAGTTAGAATTACAGATAGCATTAAAAGAGAAAGATCTGGTATCCGCGGATCCCCTTCTCTCCGTGGTAGTAACAACACATTTGATGTAAGCTGAAGGGAAACCGACTGTATTTCATCAAGCTGCTTTTGATTTCAAAAGCCCCCGTGACTGTCGTGCTTGATGTGCCATGAAAGAAGATTGCAATAAGAATAAAACGCCGCTTCCACTCCAAGTGCAGCACCAAAATAATTCTTTATGCGGCGAGAGAGGGCTGCTAGAGAAGAAAAATAAGCTAGAACGAGGTGGCGTTCTTGAATACGGCCTTCCGGCGTGATTTTTGCGATTGTAATTTTCCAATTACATCGCCCGGGGAATTCCGTCGGTGCGCCGGAGTGGCTCTCCTCTTACAAACGTCGTGAACGTCGCAATCTGATTTTTCCGCGAACTCCGCGAAAGGAGTTTTCCCCCGAATAAACTAATTTACGTAAGAGAATTAAAAAATGTCGCACGCGCGCTCGATGGGAAACGATAAAAAGCGCCGGTTTCCCGGTGACCCCATTCTTATTATTTTAAGTTCCGCTCGCCAGCAAACTTCACGTCCGCCCGATATCTGATATCGCGACAATTCCCAGCTTCTGGACTACTCGGGGGGGGGGAGGGAGGGGGGAAATGGGGAGAGAGAGCAGAAGTGCGCCGCGCGCGCGGACGCATCATCCGGTATGTACCCGCCCGTCAGGAATACATCGCGGCGCGGGCTCTCTCGCGCTGCGCCCCCGATATCGATTTCAGATTTCAATTTAATGCCGTCGCGATATCTCAGGCACGATCTTCCAATACCAATTTCGTGTTATCGGACTTTTCGTGACGTGCCGCCGTGCTCCTCCGCCGCGTCGCGCACGGCCCGGGACAACCCCCGTCCGCGCCGAGTTGTACGCGGCGAGTCGCGCGAGGCTTCCCCCCTCGCCCAGCGCGCGTCATGAATATTCCTCGGCGTTAACTACATCGACATTTCCGTTTCGTTTTCCAGTACCGCCGCGCAAGATTACGATCGTCGACGAGAACGAGAACGGACGTACGATGGTCGGGCCGTATGTGGAGGGCGACAACCTACGGCTCTTCTGCGACGTCCGTGGCGGTGAGTATCGTAAATCGGAACATGGCGCGGTATGTAAAGACAAAATCCTTTTTACCCTCGATAAAACTGCATGAATTTTTTTTTCTGCCCGGCAATGCGAGCTTTGTAACCGTGCCCTGCGGTCGTTTGACGAAGAGAGTGAGATAGAAGGGCGTTCTGGTCGAGATACTCCTTTTTTGCTTAATATAATCTGTACGACTTATTTCTCCATATAAATAAATATATACGTGTGATGTTTTGATTTTTATAATAAAGTAATGTTTCAATTATTATTATTATCACTTTTGACTTATTGTTTACGTAGCAAACTTGTTAATTGGTTCGTAAGACCTCTTGGAATATATATTAATTTATAATATATATTAATTACATGCATTAACATCCATCTATTTATTCTATAAATGTATGTGATAGCCATTAATTACATTATGAATAATATTATGTGAATAAATATTCTCATGATACAAAACGTTGGTGCATATTTGCAGATGAATAATATTTATACATATATATATTGATTGTATTTGTACATTCCATAGCTATAACGTTGATATTTATGATGATTAATATTACTGAAATGATGTTTTGCAGCGTTATTATAAAGTTTTTATAGTTTTACGTTACTAACGGCACTTTGCTTTTGTCAATTTATATAGATTTATGTGGAGTATTTAACAATTCCCCGAGATTAAATTTATAAATTTAACAAATTAATTTTCCTAAAATATTTTATCGTTACTTTTGCATCCTACAAAGCATAAAAAGTTATTAATAGATAGTTTAAAATGCAGAAAGACCCTTTATGTTATAAATCAAATCACTGATCTGTTTCATTTAAGCTTGAATTTTATATTGAATATTCTTTACATTATATACAATAATCAATCTAAACATTAGAATATTCTGTAAACTTGTGTAATATTAATTAATAATCTTTGTTAATTTGCTGTATCTAGATTTCATCGATTATATGCGTTATACAAATTATATGTTGCATTAAGTAATTATTCAGATACGCCACATAATGCGGATAGTTGCGATAAATAATTGCGAGTGTTCATGCCTGTGACCGCCGATAATATTGAAACTGATTGTTTAATGACACTATCTGTTCTCATTCGTAATGAAAGACCGATTCCATTTGCGCCATGTTAACCCTCTCCCTCTTCGCTAATTATAGACTATAATTATTACCCTTCATTATCGTGCTTTTGAATGAAGTCTCGAGTGGTACTCGATACTTGCGCCATTAAATTTACGCGCGTCACGGTAGTTACGCGATACTGTCGAAACGAGCGAAACCATCAAATCACCGTTAAATATCCCTCTCCACATGCATTCGCCGTCGCGTGAAGTTTCCGCCGAAGCGTCGCGATTTTCTCGCCGGAGTACCCCGCGGATAATATTTTCTTTTTCCGCGCGCGACTCTGTCGACAAGCAACGAGCTGAAACGGAGATTTGACCTGTTTCCGCAGGTAAGCCGGCCCCGATGGTGTCCTGGTATCGCAACGACAGATTCGTCACCAATCGGACCACGACGCGGAGCGGCGGCGTGACACGCAGCGAGATCGTTATACAGAACTTGAGCCGGGACGACGTCCACTCGGTGCTGACCTGCAACGCCACGAATAACAATAGGTCGCTTCCGCTGTCGTCGTCGGTCCGCGTGGACATGCATTGTAAGTATTCCAATGCGACACGAATAAAAATTTCGCCCACACTCTCTCGGCTCGGCCCGACCGAGAGCGCCGCGACTACGTCTGAATGAATACACGCGAGATACGCTGCCGCCGGGCACGTTTTATCGACGTTTTTAATTTGCGCGATGTATGATAATTATTGCGCGCGCAATTACCTGCGAGCAACGATAATAACGACGTATCATTACGGCAAAAACTGCGGCGCTTTAAAATATTCATGAGAATTCGCGTGGACGCGCGGCGGATCTCCAGTGTAACGCGAGGGAGCTATTCGGCATGAGTTTCCAAAAGTTGCCTTTCACTGGATTTAATCGTCTTACGGCGACAATGATACGCGAACTTAGATAGATGAACTCCCGATCCTTTAATAGGATAGAAGCTTGAGCGTGTGTTTGAAGGACATGTAATCCCGGACACACTCGGCACGATATTGCATTTACCTTTATCGCTAAAGAGGATTCGTCGAAAGCTTCGAATTGTATTATACACCATCGCGCTATTGACAAACCGCTCGGAACAACCGTGAGATATTTATCGGGATAATAGAAAACCTGATGGCCATTTTTCTAGACCCGTTTGCGAATCGACGGCGAGTGAGCTGCAGGAAGGAAGGAGGGATGAGGGGGAGGGGGAGAGAGGGGAAACGAAACGCGCGCGCGAGAGAAAGAGAGCTCGTCGACGTAGAGACGAGATATTCGGTCGCTCGGCCGGAGCTCGACGGCTCGCATTGAGAGAATATGGGTCCATCCGAGCTTTAGTAAAATAGCAGCTTCTCGCTTCCGCGCGCGGCCGGCCCGTCCTTTAAAAGATTATACTTGATGGAAGGATCTATATTCGCTAACAATGATCGCGCGCGCGTCTTGTTTGAAAACTCAAATCCGTCCTCCCGTTTTGCGATTGTGCGGATTTAATTCCTCATTATCTACGCGTATACGGACACATCGATGTTCGCCGAAAGTCGATAATTAGTATGGGATGGACGATAATGGGTTTAAATTAATAGCAATGATTATAAAATGATGCTGGACGTCAATAAGATCCCATCTAATTACTCTAATTTTATCCCCTGCTCCTCTCCCACGTATAGTTTATATAAAACGATTCCAAAATTAATCCGAGAGGGCGGGAATTTATATCAATTCCGTGCGCTCTGTGTACTTGGTGGACGTAAGTCAATAGGGCGCAGCAGAAAATAAATAGCGATGTGCTTTTTCGGACCGCACGGAACACGCCATAATAACGTTTGCAGTATAGATACCTAAGGCATACACACAGCTATGACAAACATCTAGATCAATACCGGGCCGGTGTATTGATATAGATGTTTGACATCCATACCGATGTCAAATATCCACGCTAATACAAGACAATCTCAATGCATGGATGTAGAACAAACCAATGTGGTCCTGCTGTTTGCAAGTAGCGGGAAGGTTTTGTGTGCACGATTGCGTGATTGATATGTGCGATTTAATACGCTCCCCTTCCTCCGTGTATCTTCGTCAAATATTATCGGAACGAAAAGAAGTATATAGAATACCGCCGATTAATAATTTAATCCCCGAGGCCCTTATCTGACAGTTATCTATCGCGGGCACGTTCGACGAGCCAATAAATATCGGTATCCCTTCGCAACCCCGTAACTCGTACGGTTGGAACGTCGGCACGTAGCGGTGAGACCCGGGGACGCGGACGCATCGGCGATGGAGATGAGATGATCGCGCGGCGTTCTCGCCGCAGCACGGGAATCAGGCTGGACGGCACAATTTACGGGGCGATACGGTCCGGAGGACGTACTCCCGGGTGTTCCCCAGAGGGTGCCTCTGCATTCTTTACGAGATCGGGCCCGTCGCCCGTAGCAGCGATGCGTAAATGGCGCGCCGAAGGGAAAAAGAGGAAAGAGGAAAGAGGGAGAGGACGTTGGGGACGAGGGTGCGAATTCGCCATTAAAGGGTGAATAACGTCCGTGCGAGCGTGGTGCGTCTTCCCGCGGCGTGGAATTCGATTATCTCGGACGTGATTTAAAATTTTCCCGATAGCACGGCGCGGCGACGGGGAAGGGGGAGGGGAGGGTGGCCTCGATGTCGCCACCGCCGCCATCGTCGCCGCCGCCTATCGCCGACCCCCGCAAATTCCGAACTGCGTTATTTTCCTTTTCTTACGGCCAGGGATAAAGGCGAACGTCACGTACGGCTCTACTTTCGCTTCGGCTCTTTGGGAGGCTCCGGTCGCCGTGGAGAAAGTAGATTATCGTGAGATCTTCGATCGCGTTTACAGGGCGTTTACTGATGCTACCATTTTTAGGACGGAGCGACGAGATTGACTCAAAATATACAAACGAAATAACATTTAAATCCTTATTTAAATCCCAAAAATATATTGTGTAATGTTGTGTCAACATTTGTTCCATTCGAATCGATAATACGACCAGAAATTGAGAATTTGTTTGAATAACATTAAATATTACGCTCTATTTTTAGACTTAAAATGTTGCTAGTAAACAGAGTGCTATTTAAATAATAATATTGCGTTACACGATTGCGTGTAATTGCATTGTTTCTATACATGTACCTTACACGCGCGGTTATATTGAATATCATTTTATTATAATATTTTTGTTTTACAAAAATTATAGATTTGCTGCTTTCGAAACTGACCAATTAATTTACATATTGATTGGTTTTCTCTAATTCGATTAGTTCGGTATATAATATTGGAAGTAAAATCATCAGGGATGAACTTTATTTCACCTCTTTATATAATTATTATTTAATTTGTAATTTTTACTACGTTTTTATTATGTCGTAATTTAAACGTATATAACTGATGCATATAGCAGCGCATGCATCGCACAGATAAATTAACCAGTGTATGATAAGAGAAATACGGTAAGGGTTTTACGGAAAAATATAGGGTTCAGCGACTAAAAGTATTGCAGCCGTGAACGCGCCCCGTAGGTAAATGCATCGTTTACGGGAAAATAAAGCCCGCATTAAATACACTTTAATTGTAAAGTCGGCGCAAAAAGCAAACGCGCGCCAAGCCTTCGTGAATTTCTTATAGACGGCGTAAAGTAAGCGTTAGAAGAACCCGAGAGAACCTTCATTAAAGAATACACACAGAGAGAAGTTCAGCCGCGATTTAAAAGCAATGGGACGAAGAGCACAATGGAAACTCTTCTGGCTCCAATTCGAGCTCTAATCCGAATGTAATAAGGGAAAACTTTTGCAGTCGCTCGAACGTAATTAAATGTGCACATATGCGATATTTTTGCCGACTAATTGATTTTCTACCGACTCCCAAGAAAGGAACATTCTCTATACGCGTTGCAAATTTATAATAGAATTTTTCAATCTCTTTCCGTCTTTTAAGAGAAACGTTTAAATGTTTTTATCTACTTTTACATGAATCTTTAAATTTAAGAATAGTATAACGATAAAATATCAGGAATATAACATAAACTTTTTTTACGTACTCTTTAGATATAGTATATAAATATTGAGCGCGTGAATAATTGCAGTTTTTATTCAATTCTTGATACATCACAGCGTAAATTAGATTCGGAAAATTATTACCGTAGATGTATGAGAAAATGTAGAAATCGGATATCGATACTTTTTCAATGTGCAATAGTGAAGGAAAGAGAGTCTGAACGGAAGCAACAAATGTGTAGGCGAAAGAAATGTTTATCGTATTTTACACGATAAAACAACGAAAGAGCGTCATAACATTTTTCTGGGTCAGTGATTACTTTCGAGGAAGCTCGCGGACGAAAGCGCGGCGTGAAAGTCATTCGGAATAAAATCGGTTAAACACGCGACGTTACGTAATAGCAAATTATTCGAGATAACGCGGAATTATCGGTGATTGTACGTTCGGCAAAAAAGACACGGAGATTAGATCCCATTAGCATACGCGAATTGGATCGGAGCGGGGCCGTCGTTCTCAGTTAAATCGATTTTTATCAGGTATTGTTACGCGACGCCCGCCTTTCGAGAACGATTCGAGAGCGAGGTAACACGAACGGGGGGAACGTTTGCCGCGATCTCAAACTGATTTGAATTCCCTCTTTTTTCGCTTAACGATCTATTTAACAGAAAGCGTGGCTTTTATCGCGAGAAATATAAGAAAAACCATATTGCCCCCTCGATTAAGAGCAGAAAGTAAGTATTGAGTTCAAAATTGAGAGAACTTGCGATGTGAAAAGACACAAGTCCAACAATTCCTTCTTATTTCTCCGATAATTTGATATTTATTCTTTTCCATTTTAGTCTTTTTTTTGGAAATATCAGGTATAGATATTTCTCAAAAAAAAAGATCGAGCTAATGGAATATGCATGTACAGAATATGCGGCGGAATATGCATAAAAGATTATGTAGTTAATTATGTACGTTGCAATCTTCTGTGCGCATTCCTTTTTATAGAAATTCGATTTCGATTGATTCGATTGATTAAAGTATACTTATATACTTTTACACGGCAAAAATATTTTTTGTACATATTGATCTATATTTGCGTAATTATAATTATTAAAACTCCTATTACTCCTCTAATTATTACAAATGGCACAAGTTTTTTTTTATCTCCGACAATTAAGAAACTATTTAGCGTCCTAAATTGACTTAAGGCGGAATAAGCATGTAAGGGATATATAATATAATAGCATAAATGTGTAGTTGATACGTTCCCATTTTCCTGCATTTTTTATTTTTACAAAAATACGATTATACCTTTTCGCCTACCTATACCTCGAAAAGATCGGATATTATATATATATATATATATATATATATATATATATTCCAATACATTTGTGCTGTTCTATTTAATTCGTTCCTGCAATTAATGCGATTTCTCACGCGAAGGATTTCTTGATTTTTGACTTTGCTTTTCTTTGTTTGTAATTTTGCGTGATCACGAATATGCACTTCTCAC